TAGATAGATAGATGATAGCTAGAGATAGATAGATAGATAGATAGATAGATAGATAGATAGATAGATAGATAGATGTACTAATACTTCACCTGATTTTGATTCTATGCCTCTGTTTACACAACCTAGGATTGTGTTAGCTTTTTTGGCTGCAGCCGCACACAGCTGGATCATGTTCAAGGGATCGTCCACTAGGACTCACACAATTACTGTTTTTCAGCCAGGTCTCACCTAATTGTACTTATATCTTTGATTTTTCCTGCCTAAAAACCTTTCTCCACGTTGAAATTCATTTTGTTGGATAGGGCCCATTGTTCAAATCTGTCGATATGTTTTTGGATCCTACATAATTAAAAGCCTTCCATAACATCTTTCATTAAATCGAGTGGGATCCATTACAACTTGAGTTTTACGGCTTATCTTGACAGTCTCAATCGGGTTGTTTTCTAATGTAAAACACACACACACACACGGTTCCTGATGTTATTAAATACATTGCACCAGGGCCTTGGGTGTGTGCAATCTTTGCTCATCCGGCAGGCAAGCGGGAGCGAAAGCATGCCCCAGTGTTTTCTTAACGGCGGTCTCTTTTGAAGGCTATCGCGCAAAGCTTTTTGTGAGTGAGCCGCGCCGCCTTCCCATCTTACTTAACGGCAGGCGAGAGACAGCTGCTCCATCGGGTTTTCAGTCCATAAAACTCACACAGTGAACTGTTCCCCATTTTATTTTATTTTATTTTATTTTTGAGGGGGGGCTTCTTTACATCTAATTCGGAAGAGGGGAGGAATAAGAAGCTAAAAGTTACAGGCTGGGAAATTAAATGATCTCTAAAATAGAATAACGCTAAGGATGGCGGGCTCCATCCTCGGTTAGGTGCAGCGAGCGGCTTCTGTGAGCAAAGCGCTCTTGGGATATTAATGCCACCTGCGGTTTAATTGTGGGTAGCAGCAACACAAATTCCCTTCCCGGAGTAATATGGGATGTTTTTTTGTGTTCAATATCTTTGGCCACCTGAGCAGGCTGATGAGAGGTTTTGTTCGGCTTGATTTATTTACAGTTTCTATCAAAGCCTTCATTTACTCCAGGAGTTACAGGCAGAATATATAACCTCATTATTTTTCCCCTCCGTTGAAACTTTAAAGGGGCAAGTTAAGGCTAAGAATTGGGACTGGCCCAAACTAATTTATAAGCTTTCTTAGTTGAGAGTAGACTTGATTCAACAGATATATATATATATACAGGAAGTCTTCGACATTCAACTTTCTGCTTAGTGGCTGAACTTATCACAGCACCGAACAAAGTGATTTGTGGCCGTTTTTCTCAGTTATGACCTTTACAGCATCCCCATGTTGTGGCCCGCTAGTGGTGGCAGACTCGAACAGTGAGGAGGTTGGGGAGGTACATGGGCCAGTCCTGGGGTCTGGGGAAGGAGTTGGAGATTAGTGGGGAAGATGAACAGCTGGAGCCTGTTATCAGTGTGCGCATGCACAGAGCTGCCAGGAGAAGGGAACAGCTAAGGAACAAGGGTTGACTCAGGAGTAAAGCCACAGGTGGACAGTGAATGGCCCCTTCCATAGGGAATAAAGAGGAGCGAAAGGGGAGTCGGGTTTGCAGGAGACCATTAGTTAAATTCATTACGGTGAAAATCGGTTCCTGACTCCTTGCCAGCTATTGTCTGCTACAGAGTGGCATTTGGAAGATATCGGCCTGGCAGTTCTCCAAGTCTGTAGCTGTGAAATCTCCCGAAAGACTGTTTGCCGGGACTTTGCTGGAGAGGAATTCCCTTTAACCTAAATAAAAGGGCTTTTATTGGGACGAGGAGTCGGCTTCGTGATCTTGGGAAGGCTAGGTCAGGAACACCCCATGGTCATGTGATCAAAATGCAGATGCTTCATATTTATGACGGCTGCCGTGTCCCAACCGCCAAGGATTGCCTGCACAGCGCAGGCCCCACCTTCAACACTTGCCTAAAAGAACAGCGTTGAGTCAGTTTTTTAAATGAATGGGTTTTATTGCCGATGCATTCGGTTGCTACAGGATAACTTTATAAATTCTGTTTCTCTGCTGAGTTCTTTTTCCATCTCTTTTTCAGGGTGGTGTTAAAATCTTATCTGTTTTTTTTTTTTTTAAAGCTGGAATAACTTCTGAGCATCTGGCTGGGTGTTTATCTGAAAAAAAAAAAAAAAAACCTCCCCTGTTGTTGGCCTGTCTTAATGTGCAGAAATATATTCAGTCTGGGGAGAAATTCTGCGATTTGACCCAGAACTGCAATTCTCTAGGGCAACATCTCAGCGACACGTGGAATATGATTTTTTTAAATTTTATTTTTCCTACTGCGCTTGTTACATTTCAGGGCTCTTACCAGATTTCACACCTATTATGAAACCCCCAGACAGCCAAAAGCTAATACAGATTTCCAAATGAGATCAGGCGGCTTCAAAACAGAATATTTACAAACCAAACCGGGAAATGAAGGTTTGAACATGCAGAATGTATATTAAAAAAACAGTGTTAGCTGCCGTCCAGTTCCTGAATTCAAGACTTCCCCAGCCTACCCAAACGATAGTAATTTCTTTTGTGACTTGTTTCGTCTTAACCCGAAGATCTTTTAATTGCCTACGCTGGGAAATCGTTGGAGCAAATTGGTCCCATTCTCAAATTTAAAAAGAAAGGGAGCGTTACGTTTTAAATACAGGTAGTGTCAACTCAAAAAACATTTCTATGCCTGTTTTAGAGTTGACATGAATAGAAGGGTGGGACGGAGAGAAATTTGAAAGAGCAGCGCAGCAGTTTGTAACAGGAAGTGCATTCCATTCTTATCTTGCAAAGATTATAACTAAGCTACCAGAGTTTCTGCTGCACAAATCTCTAATTGGAGAATGTGATAGATGACTCTGGGCTATGAATGTGTTTCGTTGGAGAATATGAATTATGATACACCCAGAGGGGTGCGGGAAAGCCAGTGACAGTCAATTACGTGTCTCAGAACTGGCTTCATACCTTACCTGAAAGATACAGCGAAGAATGGACATATTTGATTATAAATGTTTTGTCAGCAGCTAGAATTGTATTTGCTAAAAACTGGAAAAGTGGGAAAATACCAATAGAAGAGGGGCTGATTATGAAAATAATGGAATGTGCAGAAATGAGTAAATTGACATTAGCAGTTAGAGAGCAAGAAGATAAAGAGTATTATAAAATGTTGGATTTATTCTATTAATGGTTAGAAAGGAAAGTAGGGAAATAAGATATAATACAATATAAATATGATAGAGTAAAGATAAGACAATGTAATACGTAACAATGGATTATAATGAAATGAATGATATTATGAATTGAGATATTTAAAAAACAACAACTGAAATTTGCTCGAAAAGGATGATATAGTTTATAAGTAAAATCCAATAAGTAGTTAATAATAATATAATACAATATGCATATTTATGTAATATAAATTTTAACAATGTATTTAGAAAGGAAGGGTTGTAGATATTGTGCGCAAGAGGATTTGTACAGACTGACACACTGTACAATGGAAAGAAGATTTTATGTTTTGTGTTTATGTTTGTTGTTAAAAAAAAAATAAAAAATGTTATTTTTTTTTAAAAAAAAGAATCAGCTTCATACAGGCCATGCTGGACTTTGCTGGAGAGGAATTCCCTTGAACCTAAATAAAAGGGTTTTTTATCGGGACGAGGAGTCGGCTTCGTGATCTTGGGAAGCCTCGGTCAGAACGGTCTCCAGATCTCTTCCCAATTAATCCCGCCACCCTTGTGCTTCCTTGTCTTCTCTTCCCCATCCAGGACCTTCAGAACCAGTTGGAAAAAACTCAAAACGAGTTGGCTGAGAAGGAAAAGGCGATCGAGCTGCATTACGAGGTCCTCTTGAGTGACGGGGATCAAAGGTTGGAGGACCAGAAGTTGGTCATCGCACGCCTGACAGACGGCGCGGCTCAGAAGGATGAGCTGCTCCAGGTGAGGAGAACATCTGCTGAAGGGAAAGCTCCGGCGTTGTTAAAGACTAGTCCAGGGGTGTCCAACCTTGGCAACTTTAAGACTTGTGGACTTCAACTCCCAGAATTCCTCAGCCAGCTTTGAAGTCCACAAGTCTTAAAGTTGCCAAGGTTGGACACCCCTGGACTAGTCAAACCCAAAACCCGCAGCTGTTCTTCATATTTTTTTGTCTCCAGGCTTTTAATCATCTTACTTGCTCTTCTCTGAACTTTTTCCAAAGCCTCCACTTCTTCTTTTTTTTTTTGGTAATGTTTTGTGACCAAAACTGGATGCAGTATTCCAGGTGCGGCCTTACTAAAGTTTTTTTTTTTTAAAGTGGCATTAATACTTCATTTGCACCAAAACGAATTCCTTGTGTGTCCGATCACCACTTGGCCCATAAAGAATTCAATTCTAATTCTTTTCTATTCATGCGATCTGGATTCTATGCCTCTGTTTATACAACCAAGGATTCTGTTGGCTTTTTTTGGGCTGCCGGCTCATGTTTAAGTGATCTCACAGTTACCGTTTTCGAGCCCGGTTTCACCTTCTCTGTCCTTGTACCTTTGGTTTTTCCTGCCTAGGTGTAAAAAACCTTGGTTTTTTTTTTCCTCCACGTTCAATTTCATGTTGTTGAATCGGGCCCGTTGTTCAAGTCTCTCAAGATTTTGGGATCCTGAGTTTGTCTTCTGGGCTGTTGGTTATTCCTGCCAGCTGGGTGTCATCTTTGTAGAACAGAAGTTGTGAGGTGCTTCCATCACTGGAGGTTTTTAGGAAGAGACCGGACAGCCGTTTGTCTGGAAGGGCATAGAGTCTCCAGACTGAGCAGGGGGTTGGACTAGAGGACCTCTAAGGTCCCTCCCAACGCTGTCATTTTGATTTTCCTTTCTCGTTAACTCAGACTTCCTGATTTTCTTGAACGACCCGCGGCCTTTAAAGAAATGGTCGAGCCGTGGTGCGTTTCACAAGATTCCTTCGCTGGAACTGTGAAGACGGGCCAAGATTGGACATCAGTGATTTTGGTTTTTTCAAAACAGAGGGACAAAGTGAATGTTGTTTTTCTTTTTAGCAACCTGCCCGCTCACGACAAACAACACATCGTTTGTTCCGGTTTCTTTTTCCTCCCACACAGACTCTTGATGGGGTCATTAGAGAAAAAGATCTGAGGCTGCAGGAATGGTCCACTAAGTTTCAACATCTGGAGAAAAATAAAGAGAACCTGGAGAGACAGAACGAAGCCTTGATGGAAGAAAAATGCGCAGCCCAATCTGAGCAGCTGGTGACCAAAATGACGCATGAATTAGAGGTAGACTTTCCCTGTTTGACTGAACTTTCTCCCAATTATTTTATATATATCTATATCTATCTCTATTTCTATCTATCTATCTATCTATCTATCTATCTATCTATCTATCTATCTATCTATCTATCTATCATTTATCCATCCTATCTATCTATCTATCCATCCATCCATCCCATCCCATCCTATCTATCTATCTATCTATCTATCTATCTATCTATCTATCTATCTATCTATCTATCTATCATCTATCCATCCTATCTATCTATCTATCTATCTATCTATCTATCTATCTATCTATCCATCCATCCATCCATCCCATCCCATCCCATCCCATCCCATCCCAATCTATCTATCTATCTATCTATCTATCTATCTATCTACCTACCTACCTACCTACCTATCTATCTATCTATCATCTATCTATCTATCATCTATCTATCTATCTATCTATCTATCTATCTATCTATCTATCTATCTATCTATCTATCTAAACAAACATTCCTGGGAAATATGTGCCCCACATTGTATTTAGAGGCTATTTCAGAGTTAGTCGCAAATAGAATATAATCAAGTAGCTCGATACCCGTGCTTTGCTATGAAACTATGTGGTCAGGCTTAATTTTTGGGGAGGAAAATAAGCGGGGGGAAATCTGCCTCTGTCTACCAGCATCCATCGGTATTCATCTGGCTACCGTCCTGTCAGTATGTGAAAGAGTAGAGGGCTGTTTGGAAACGGAAGCAGTATTTGCTGTGTGAGCAAGGAGACAGTAAGGAGCATGGGCGTGGCTTAGCTCAACTGTTCTTTGCTAAAGCTGCTTGGTGCTATAAAACTGAAACTCCTCTGCTTATCTTTTGCGTTTAGAACAGATTTCTTTTCAGGTGGGGAGGGGGAGTAGAATTCCTTAGCATCAGAGCGTGTTAATAATAATGATAATATAGGAAATACTAATGCTCTTGATGGTCATTTCGAAAAATCCTTTCTTAGTGAGCCCCTAGAAGCCAAGAGGAACATAAGTGCCACATTTCAAGTTTGTAGGCTTTATGGTTCTGGAGATTTTGTGATGATGCGTGAGTGGCATTTCGCTTTTATTTATTTATAGATAGATGATAGAGAGATAGAGAGATAGATAGGTAGATAGGTAGAGAGATAAATAGATAGAGAGAGAGATAGAGAGATAGAGAGATAGAGAGAGAGATAACGATAGAACATTCGAGGATTGTTCCAATGTTTTTTGTACGTTGCATGAAAAAAAAGGAGTAGGGGTGACATGATAGCAGTGTGGTAATATCTAAGGGGCTGCTACAAAGAAGAGAGGGGGTCAACTTCTTCTCCAAAGCATCTGAGAGCAGGACAAGAAGCCATGGGTGGAAACTAACTAAGGAGAGAAGCAACCTAGAACTAAGGAGGCATTTCCTGACAGTTAGAACAATTAATCAGTGGAACTATCTGCCACCGGAGGTTGTAAATGCTCCAACACTGGAAGTTTTTTAAGAAGAGATTGGATAAACATTGGTCTGAAGTGGTGTAGGGTTTCCTGCCCAAGCAGGCGGTTGGACTAGAAGACCTCCAAGGTCCCTTCCAACTCTGTTATTGAGAAACCGTCATGGATGATAGCACATCTCTCTTTAGACTAGAATTCTGATCTTCTTAAACTTTCTCCATTCACCTTGTAAGGTGGATGGGTTGATTCTGCTAGCGGTGTCTCCTTACGGTGGTTATTTCAGTCAAGGTTGTTGCAGAAACACAATTTGTTGAGTTAGTGCTTTGAAGGAAGAAAAAAACAAAAGCCATGCTGTGGAATTGATCAGTTGGCCCATCTCTAGGTTAGAAGCTCGCTCCTTGTCACAAAAACAAGAACTCAAGATCATCATCCCCTTTTAACGACCCCGTCGTCCCTTGTGAGGTGGAGTCTGGGCAACTGGAATGGAGCTGAGTGTTTACTGGCCAGATGCCCTTCTTGTTGCCAATACAGAGGTTTTTTCCCCAGCAGATATATTCTCAGTGTGCCCGGAGAGAGAAATATCTGCCTCTAGTTGGATCGAACTCACAGCCTCCCGATTGTGAGGCGAGAGCTCCACTTCTAGCCCACCGCACCACTCGTTTTGCTTCAGATAAACCAGCGACTTTTTCTTTTCAGAGAGCCAAAGAGTCCGAATACGCGGAAATGCTCGAAACTCTTCGAAAAGAGCACACCGTTTTTTCGACTTTGATCAAGTCCCTGAAAGATTCCGATGGGTGAGCACCGTCTACTTTGCCTCAGAGTGGATAAATGGTCTTGGAGCATTTGGGGGTGTACGTGTGCGGCATCTAGACAACGTTTCCCGGGGTTTCTCAACCCACGAACTCCTACACAAAGCCCAGCCACAGAAACAACGGCCAGAAGAAGAGATGGAATCTCTTGGCTAACCTCATTTGCACGACGTCCTCCCCAAACTTACGTGGTGATTCTGGTGCCAAATGTCTACTTAACATTCCTTAATGAAAGGATTGCGATGACCAAATATCTCCATTTGGCCTCTTATGTGGGTGAGAAGGGGTGGACTAGATGGGCCAGGCCCATAAAGATTTTTTGGGGAGGTTCGTAAGGGTCTGGTTCTCCTGGGAGGACTTTCCTGTTTATTTCTCTGTTCAGAACCAACCCTTGTTACCAGAAATGTATCCATGAATGTACAAATAACACAAATTAAAATTATGAAGGAGAACTAGGGGGACGAAGAGAACAGGAGGAAGAGGAGAAGGGGAGGAGGAGAAGGGTAAGAGGAGGTGGAGGAGGAAAAGGAGGAGGAGGAGAAAGGGGTGAGGAGGAGGAGGAGGAGAGAAGGAAGAGGAAGAGGAGGAAAAGGGGAAGAGGAGAGGGAAGAGGAGATGTAGGAGAGGAGAAGGACAAAGGGGAGAGGAGGAGAGGAAGAAGGAGGAGGAAATGGAGAAAGGGAAGAGGAGAAGGAGGAGAAGGGGAAGGGGGGAAGAGAAGGAGGAGAAGGAGAGCAGGAAGAGGAGATTGGGATGAGAAAGAAGGGGAGGAGGAGGAAGAGGAGGAGGAGGGGAAGTGGAGGAGGACAGAAGTAAGTTGTTGAGGACACTGAATGAAGATTATAAAGTGGTCCCCAATGTAGTCCTGAGATTAATGGACAGCAGTTCACAGATCTGTTCTTGTTCCCTTGTGGAGGAATATCTCCCCTCCCACCTGTGCCTCAAGGTGATGGAGTAGATTTTGGATCCAGTCTTTCTCCCTTCCCCCCCACCCCTCCATCCTGCCAAGAACTGAATCCCAGTCGTGTCACCTTTAATCAAGTAATGCCCTTCATTAAGGAAATGAACACGCAGCCTTTTGGCATTTATGTATTGATTTGTTTTCCAAGCAATGCTTAATTCTGGGATCTGCCATTTTTCCTCCTTCCCTCCCCCCATTTTTTTCTCCCTTCCTCCCTCCTCTTTCTCATTTTTCCTCCTTCCTTCCTTCCTTCCTTCCTTCCTTCCTTCCTTCCTCCCTCCCTCCCTCCCTCCCTCCCTCCCTCCCTCCCTCCCTCCCTCCTTTAAAAGCGACTTCATTCAGAAGGAGATCTTTTTAGTCTGAACAAATGATGCCAGAGGTCCAGAGCGCAATTCCACCCCGCAAATGTTTCATGAGTCTCCTTGGCCTTCGGTTAAAAATTCTTCTCTCTTTTCTTTTTCTTTTTTCTTTTTTTTTCTAAATTAGCATAAATAATCTGCAGGAGGAGCTAAACACCATCTTGTCCCTGCGGAAGCAACTCGAAGAAGGCATCTTGGAGACCTGGAATTTGCGGAGAACGTTGGAAGAGCAAATCCGGGATAACAGGAAGGAAGGTGAGCAGAACAGGTGGCGAAATCACCTCTGGCTCTCCAAAGAGAATAGATGAGTTCACGGTGGACAAAAATTACAGATGTTGGTTGGAAAAGATGACAATGCAGCATATTGATTTAAAACCAGAAATATTTGTCAGGATTCCGGCACTTAACCCCATTTAAATCATGAATCTCGAGCCAAACTTCCAAAACTTCCAAAGGATTTATTGGGAGTTTAAAGGGCCAGCATTGCCTGGGTGTAGCCGACTCTTTCATTGTCACCCTTGACCCTGGTTTTCCCCCACCTCCTCACAAAAATCTTAACTATGGAAGAATAATTCCACCGCTCTCTGTCTCGCGCGCGCCTTCACTCCCCTTTCTGCCGTGTTCCATGCACCTGCTTAAAATTACTTTTTAAAATATACGCTATCGGTGCAAACTGTAATTGAACAGCGGATCCATAACGCATGCTGATAGCTAGTGGAGACGTGTGGGGTCCGTCTTAAGATGTCAGGAAGGCAAGTAAAAATATCGGGAGATATGATAGATAGACAGACAGGCAGATAGATAGGCACATAGATAAATAAATAGATAGGTACAGATAGACAGACAGATATATTGAGATAGACAGAGATAATTAGATATATACAGGCAGACAGAGACAGATGATAGATAGATAGATAGATAGATAGATAGATAGATAGATAGATAGAT